ATCTAGAAAGCAATTTGAAATCATGCAAAGAAAGTGACTAAAATGTCCATGATCCATACAATTAAAGCCTTTCTTTTATCACCTTGAAGAGAATGGAAGATGCTAATAAGAGGTGAAGTACTGTTGGAGTTTCTCCCTACATTAAAGAAAACACTCAAAAGCAGATCACATTTTTGGTTTAAAAGTTCAGCTTAGTCATATTGTTCTTTTTCTCTTTATAAACATATACCTTAGGTCATAATCTCACCATTCTTATGGGGAGACATTGTGATTGAAAGGACATATGGCTTGGAGGCAAAAGGATCCCAGCTCAGTCACTAACCACGAGCCGCCTTGGAAATGTCCACTCAGCAGTGGAAAGAGTGTTGGAAGTATACCACTTTTGTCAAATCATTTAAACCTCCCTGGGCCTCATTCTCCTTCTCTTAAGATGAGAAGGCTGGACAACATGGCCTCTGAAGTCTCTTTTAGCTTTAAATCCATGATTCTCTGAAATGAAGGGGATGGTACTACATCAGTGGCATCAAACTCAAATGGAAACATCCCCACAGGCTGTATTTTTTGACCTAGAAACCCACAAGTGAACATTTATCTATGTTGGATTGTATTTTTATTTTGTTATACATTTCCTAATTCAGAATAATTAAAAGAATTACTTAAAAAGAAATAACAAAAATGTAAAAATACCACAAAACAATTATGCATTAATTGAAGTATTTAGGAACTATAAAATTTTTAGTAAGTTACCAATCTTTGCAATTATAAACATTAATAATAGAAGAACATTGCATTAGCTATGCCTTTTCCCTCCCACTTTACTAGATTAAATCTGTTTACGTAAAATAGCAAACAAATTAGAGCAAATGCAGTAAGTTGCAAAAGAAAAAAAACATAAACAAAAGACATTCTATATAATTACATTATCTGGATGTTTCCAGATTATTCTTGCATAGATAGCAAATGATTATGGAAGCAGTATGAGTGCCCAATTTGGGGCAAGTCACTGAATTTCTCTGGTCCTCAGTTTTCTCCTCTGTCAAGTAAGTCAACTTGATTAAATGATCTCTAAGGTGCCATTTCGGCTCTAAATGTACGATCCTGTGTTACATGTGACTGTAACAGCCAAAAATCATAAAGTGCCGAATTATAAACTTAAACTGATAAAAGAAATCTGTTGTTGGTCTCCAGGCTCCCTGAAATTGCATCCTATCTGTGCATCTGCAGTCTGAACAATGCATAATAGTGAAGACCTTAAGATCTACTAAAAAATGAGAGAAAGGTCTTCCTTCGTGTTTAAGTTATTGTACTTAATAACGACGGCAGTAATTCTAAATATGTTGCTAACATCTGTTCTATATTCCCCAATGCAAGGGTTAGAGGTGAGGCTAATTTCAAAAAGAACACAATGAACAGGTCTTGATTTGTTTACAGAACCCCTAATTTAGAGAGTGCCTAAATATTTGTCCTGGGTATTAACTAAGATGCAGTATGCGGTTCACAGCCTCATTAAAGCAAGTAAATATTTCATAGCTTTAGTATCTGATCTCAACCTTAATGAATATTTAATAGAAGCTGACCAACAACAACAGCAAAAACCTGAAGGAATTATGTTCCTTTTAGTTAGAACTGGAGTCTCTAAGCTCTACAGCCACTTCTCAAGTAATCTGAAGCTAAAATTATACCAGCCTCATAAAATGTTCTACATGATTTTATAACCAACTAAAAGACTACAACATATGGGTTGAAATTTATAAATTAAATATTTTTAAAAGAATTTAATACAACTTGGAATTTGAAAAAAAAAAATGCAAGAGAGTGGTTTAACGTACTTGGAGCAGCATTAGATATTCAGCAGAATACATTGCCTGAAATGCTGTTGGTACTCCCTTATGAAGCCAGGATGAAAAAACAGAATCTGTTATCTATCGGCTCCTCACAATTTATTTATTGGGGAACGGCAGCACAAAACTACCTTTAGGGTAGAGGACAATAGAAAACTATTGCATAAAGCCACATAAACGTGCTTGTCTGTTCTTTTAAATCATGTATTTATTGGGCATTTATTATGTACCCCAGTCTATTGTAGGTAATGAAACTAGAAAAGAAAAAAGGAGGAGAAATCTCTACCCTTCATCACAGGCACACAAATCATTTCTTAGAAACGGGGGCCCATATACCAATTTAGGATTTCGTATTATGTCATAAGTTGGCTAGTGAAAGTCTCCCTAGGATAAAGTTATATGCCTTAATTTATCCAATCAATGTTGATTAGTGGAATAAAGGTGGACTAATAGAGAGCAAACAAAACTAACTCCTATTCCTTCTCAAGATGCACACACATCTAAGATGTGCTTTCATTATATATGGGATGTAACATGAGACATTTCTATGGTGACTCTCCAGATTAAGGTCAATAAACAATATTAGGTCTTCCTATAACTATAAGAACTAAGATCGTTGACCTAAAACTTCTTGGTTTGTTTTGGTTTTGTTTTTTTAAGTTCAGAGCTCTTAGAGTAATACGAATTGTGCCATTTGGGTGAAAAAAAATGGGGCTATGAGATCTAAATGAAAACTTGATTAGGAATGGATTCTCCAATAAAATCTATATATTGTTGTGGTGAATTAATGCATCCTAGGGTCTATTAATTTGATCTAAAAAGACACTGTGTGGGGAAGGAGCCAAGATTGCAGAGTGGTAGGAAACAGTACAGTGAATTCAGCTTCATGAACTTCTCCAAACTGATGTAGAAAATGCACCAGACCCAGTCTTGATGGTGAAATTCAGATAAAGTCACAGTGAGTCATTTGTCCAGATGAGTGGGGCATAGGTAAACATGCAGGGAGGTCTATACATTGTACTATGAGCATTCTAGCACCCAGGCTGAACATTAGTGCAAGAGGAGGTCCCAGCCCCTTACCAAGGCACCCCAAAACCTATACCAGGGCATTGTAGCAGGGACAGAAGCCAAATGGCAGCTTTGACAACCACTACTGAGTTCCAGATCACAGACCCAGAGCAGACCAAGAAGCCAGCTGCAGTAGTAGTAGCAGTGGCAAGGTTCAGATGTCAAGCCAGAGCTTCAGATTATCTATTCAGACTCTCGGCATCTAGCCTATTCTGCAGAGGACTAACCAAGGTAGGAATCCTATACCAAAGTGGAATGCACAATTCTGTTACTCTGAACCAATAGAACTTCCCAGTTGGTTGATAGGGGCTGAATCCATCAAGAATCTTACTCTTACACATGCCCAAACAAGCAAAAAAATATCCTACCATAATGAGCTATTATGATGGCAGGGATACTCAAGATACAAAGAAAAGCATGTCTCTAAAACACCTGCAAGCATTGCCTCAGAAAAGAGCATAGTTTAAGAATAAACTCAACTAGGATTGCTAGAAGAGATGGAGTAGGAATTTTAAAAAAAATTTAATGAGAGTTTTTATAAATGGAATGAAAGTACTTGGGGAAAAAATGGAAAAGAAATGAGAGCTATGGAAGAAAGAACTGGAAAGAGAATTAGCAGCTGGCACAAGAGCTGCAAGACCTTGCCCAAACTCCCCAAAAATCTGAATGGACCAAAAAGAAGCCAATGACTCCATGAGACAACAAGAAAGGTTAAAACAAAGTCAAAAGGCTGGGGAAAATAGAAGGAAATACAAGTTATCTCATAGCAAAACCAACTGACCTGGAAAATAGATTAAGAAGACAAAAAATTAAGAATCTTTGTACTATTTGAACACCACGACCAAAAAGACAAAAAAGGAAAGAAAAAAAAAATAGTGCCTAGGCACTATATTTAAATGAGTCTTAAAAGAAAACTGTCAGATCTTTTCAAACGGGAGGGCAAAGTGGAAATAGAAAGAATCTACTAGTCATCTCCTAAAAGAAATCCCAAAATGAAAACTCCCAAGAACATTATACTCAAATTCCAGAGAATGCCATGGACGGCCTCTGATCAGCAACACTGATGGAAATACTCACACTGATGAGATCACAGTCAATCCAAGTAACTGGAGAATCCTTAAGACCGCTCATTAGAAATAAATGAGTTATAATTATTTAAAACAATGCTTCTTTAATGTTATTGCTTATTTTCAAACTTTCACAGATAAATGTTACTAATTTTTGTGTGTATTTACATACATAAATATGTTATATACATGCATACACACATACAAATATAAATTCATGCTCTTTGACAAATAAGAAATTCAATTTTTAGCACTGATTTTTTTTACAAATTTTACATATTTGTTACCTTTACTTCTGTTATTCCTAAAAGCATTTTGTCAGGCACATCTAATAATATTGATCGGAGTCTTAAGGGAACCAAGACATGAGCATTACACTGATTAGTATGATCAAACCATCAAAAGGTTGGAAGACAATTCTCATCCTTCTCCTCCAGCAATAGCTAATCGTTGGGCTTGTATCCAACACAGTCACACTTACCTTCACTCATAATACACACACATTCTGTGCCTTCCCTCCCATATGCAATGCTTCAGTCTTCATCCTCCTGGGATTAGCATCAGCCTCTCAGGGCAGTGAAAATCAAACTTCAACCCCAGGTGCCATTGAGAAAATCCCCCTGCTCCCACCAGTATACCCACCAGGAGAAAAGAAATTACTGATAGAAGTATGTGATCAAAAATACTGGGAGATCACTACCAAAGACTACCAAAAAGTGTTTGAAGGCTATGTGGAAAAAACAAAAAACATTTAGGCATGAGGGTCTTCTTTTTTCTTTTAAAGCTGTTTAAGGCCAGTCTATATTTATTTGTTTGTCTGTTTAGAGAAAAAGCTCTTAACAAGTAACACTGTTACAGCCCACTCCTACTACCATTTTCCCAAATCCATTCAAACTCAGGGAGGTCTCCTACCTGAGGCTTTTCCTAATTCTCCCACAGTCGCTGCCACCTGTCAACCTGCTAAAATAACTTAGTATATTTTTTAGCTTTTACAATTGTATTTCTAATAAGGTCAACAACATACCTGTTTGTCAAATGCTACCCACGATGGTGCAGCACTTCCTAGTCCTCGAGGAAAAACACTATATTTGGGTTTAAGAGAGCGTCCAAACAGAGGTTGACCCCCTATTCCAGGCTTATCTTCATTTAATAGCATGCCGACATGGTTGCAAAAGCCCCAGTGCTGAGATTTATGGAACTTTTCTTTCCCCAGCTGTGAATATAAAAAAAAAAGTATACCCAAAGTTAATCATTTGATTTTTTTTTATCATTTTTAATATAAATGTTTTAACATTAGTTTCCTCATTTCAAAATAACTGGAAAATAGCATATAATCACCATGAATCTTTACACAAAACCTGTGTCATATTTGAAGTGAAGCAAATTAAGATGTACACAGAACTCTGAAATGTAGCAAGAATAAATCCTAAGTTCTATGCTATCTAAAAAAAAAATCATTATTACTGCAAGTAAGCATTTATAATATTTGATTGCTAATTGTTCTCCTCTTTTTATTTGTTCATCCACTAGATTCTTCCTTAAATGCCTCCCTCTGGCATAGCAGAAATGTTGGGTTTTCCAAAGCTTAAGCATGAGCTATGGAAGGAAGGTTCTACCAAAGTACAAGGAACACAAATGGACCAGCAGTGATGGGTAAGTTTGTCATCTGAGGAGCAAACTATCTAAATTAAGAGAGGTTCATCCCTAGGAGACTGGCCATCATGGGAAGAAACATTTTGGCCACAATAACTCATTAAAGCTTCCTACTAAGACATGAGAGGAAGCATTATCCACACCACTGAGATCATAGATCCTTTAAATAATGAAATTCTTATTTGCTAAACATACAAACACAAAACAACCCAAAATAAATGTCTGTTGACTGATTACTGGAATAAAGATAAGGAACAACAGAAAGCAAGCCAAACTACTCAACTCCTATTCTCTCTCTATTTTCTGTTTCTCCCCACCCCAACATATAGATACACATACATACATATAAATATACAGACATACATAATATATACTTTTATTCCCTTTAATGTTAACAAAAATATTTAATTACACAAACAATAAATGGATTGTAAAAAAAAGTATACATTATAAACCCTTAGATTTCTGTGATTTGTAGATTGTTTTAATTTTTTTAATCACATAGTAATTTTGAAAAGGTGATTAACAAAATCTTCCTACTTTTCTCCAGGTCTCCTCCAGAACTTCTTTTCTGTGTATTTATGTCAGCATTTAATGATGTTACTATGGTTACTGGTACACTAGTCATTGTACATATCTCCACTTTGGTTCTGTTTTCTTCTCTGCATTATTGCTCTGCATTATTCCATAAGTATAAATTAATAGTTCTTTCAGTTCTTCATAACTGTCCATTCTTATGGTACAATAACATTTAATTGCATTCATATTCTATAATTTGTTCAGCCAAGTCCCCAACTGAAGAAAGCATAGAATATTTCTAGTTTTTGTTTTTTGTTCTGTTTTGCTATTGTGAATGGTGGCACTAGGAAAATTTCTGTACAAATAGATCTCTTTTCCCCCCAGTCAATAACATCCTCAGGGTACATCTTAAAAGGGAGAAAAATGGATCAAAGAATTTGGATACGTCTGTTGCTATTACCAAATAATCATATAGTTTTTCAAAAGAACTGCACCAATTTATCAGTAGCATAATAGTATACCTGCTTTTTCACAAGTATATCAGCATTCAATTTTATTACCTTGCACTATTATTGCCATTTTGGTAGGTGTGAAGTATCATCTTAAGGTTGTTTTTTTGTGTGTGTTTTTTGTTTTTTGTTTTTGTTTTTGTTTTTTTTGGTGAGGCAATTGAGGTTAAGTGACTTGCCCAGAGTCACATAGTTAGTGTTATGTGCCTGAGGTCAGATTTTGAACTCAGGTCCTCCTGACTCCAGGGCTGGTGCTCTATCCACTGTACCACCTAGCTGCCCCCTCAAGGTTGTTTTGTTTTATATGATTATGACAATTAGAAAACTTTAAAACTTCTAAGTGGTTGATAATTTATATTCTTCTTCTGAGAACTGTCTTCTCATATTGACTATTTATCTATAGAGAAATGGATCTTATTTATAAATGCATGACAATTCTTCATCTATTTGAGATGTTGAAATTTCACAGAAATACTCATAAAGATTTTTCCCAATGCTCTCTTTTTTATTGTCTTCTGTTGCATAAAAGCTTTTTTATCTTTAAACAATTTTATCTAGCTTTTCTCTTATAACTTCTTTGGCTTCTTGGATAGCTAAAAAAAATTTTAATCCTCTAATTGTATGAGTTAATAGTCCATTATCTTTTAATTTGTAATAATTTTGTGCCAGGAATCTCCATGTAATAGTTATGATACATACTGTAACAACAAGATCTAATCCCATTTTTACCATACTGTCATCTAATTTTCCTAATAAATTTTACTTAATAATATTTTAAAATATTTTCTAATAATTTGTGATAATTGATTTATCAATGCTAATCAATTATATTAATTTCAATTATTTAATCTTTTCCATTGAATTGTTTTCTATATTTTAGAATAGAAATACCAATTAATTTTGATAATTACTGCTTGATAGCCCGGGCCACCACTGCTGCTGCAACTCCATGACCCTGGAAAATTTTTTATACATGTGCATGCATACATAACATGCTGCACATATATTTGCATATATGTGTGTATATGTGTACATATACACACAAACACACACACCAAGTATTGCCAAGTTGATCTTTATTTAGATCCAATCAAATATGTAGAAAGAAATAGCATGACAGCATAATGGTAAAAGGGCCAGCCTTAGAGTCAGAAACACCTAGGCTCCAGTCGTACCTCTCAAAGCTACTAACTATATGATCATAAGTAAGTCAGTCTCTCAGTTTCCCCAAGCAACTCTGAAACACTTTAGGTTATAAAAGGGTTGCTGATTCATATCAGAGGAGGAGGAATAGTTAGATAACGAAATGGATGGAGTGCCAGGCTGAGTCAGGAAGACTCATCTTCCTGATTTCATACCTAGCTGTGTGACCCTAGGAAAGTCACTTAACCCTGTTTGCCCGAGTTTCCTCATCGGTAAAATGAGCTGGAGAAGGAAAAGCAAACCACTCCAGTATCTTTGCCAAGAAAACCCCAAACAAGGTCACGAAGAGTCAGACATGACTGATAAACAACAAAATCAGAGGGGGATGTTTCAATAGCATACTGATTAAATTATAGGTCAAAATTCACCCCCTTCTCTCAACACAGCATAGTAAAACTCAATATAAGTAAAAACAAACAAAAAAAAAAAACCACCACAAAACTCTTTCTGCATCAGATGAAAGAGCAGACTGAATAAATAGTACACATTCACATGTATTACCATTTTTCAAATGTATATTAAAAGCTCTTCTAATTAGTAAAATACAAATTTAAGCATTGCTGAATTACTAAGTTTTTACCATCATATAGCTTCTCAATCAGGTTAAGATCCATGAGATCTTTTTTAATGTAAATAAGGTATCATTCTAAAAAATAAAATGGAGTATCACTGTGGTAGAAGTTATTTGCATTTTGAGTGTATAATTGAATTTACTTGTGAAGTCATCTAGTCCTGGAATCTTTTAACATGGAAGATCAGCATTGATCTGTTCAATTTCTCACTCTGATACTGGTTTATTTAGGTTATGTATTTCCTGTGTTGTCAATTTGAATATTATTATAAATATTCATTCCTTTATTTTCTACTCTGTTTTCTTGGCATAGGTATAAAAGTGTTTCTTTTTTTCTCCATTTATTATCTTCCCTTTCACAATTTGATTTTGATTATGTTTTTATTCTATGTTTTTAATATATTTGCTAATGATTTTTTCTCTTTTCAAAGAACAAGCTCTTTTGTTTATTCATTTGTTTTCTATTTTACTAATCTAGCTCTAATTCTGGTGGGTTTTTATTTTTCCTCTGACTTATCAGTTTGTTCATCTAAAAATATTTTACTGACAATAACTCACAGATCACAATATCACAGATCTTAAAACTGGAAAGAACAACAGAAATTATCCGGTCCAATCCAGTCATTTTATAGTGATGGCACCTGAGGCACAGACAGGTTAACTGAGTTTCCCAAAGTGACAGAGGTAGAAATGATAGAGCCAAAACACACATCCTCTTTCAATCCAGTTCTCTTTTTACTTCATTACTTTTTGTGACCTCTCGTTTTACCAACTTACTGGAAGATCTGCTTACATCTTCTCAAATTTGAAGAATAATCTTCATTTTAGAAAGTATAGAAAAAAAAAGTTCAAGAAATGAAAATCTGGAGAGGGTAAGACAGCACCTGATTGCTCTCAATGAATTCAAATCATCAAGAGATGATTTCCTAAGATACTTAAAGACCTTGTGGGTTTTATCAGAGAACCATTATTAGTAATTTGTGAAAAATCTTTGAAAACAGGAGAGGTCACCCATAACTAGAGACCAGAAAATGTTGCCCTAATTTTTACAAAAGCAGAGAAAGTCGAGTGTAAGTACCATAAAGTAGTAAGCTTACTAAAAATCCTAGGCAAAACTCTAGAATGCATGATTAAATTAATGGTTTGTGAGAAAATAAAACAGCAATCACTTTAAAGTTGCCCAGCTTCATCAAAAATAAATAATTCCATAATAACCTCATTTCCTGCTTTCATTTGTAAATAAGAAAAATCTTATGATCATAGTACATGAGTATTTTAGCCAACACATTTGCCTAAGTTTCTGATTATATCCTTGGACAAGTTGAAGAGTTGTTAGTTATATCGTAGGATATACAGTTAGGTAGATTCAGAAATGGTTTAATGGAAATTTCTGCATGCCTGCTACACATGAATTACCAGTCACAATCAACTTTTTTGTGCTTAGCTGTCTGGAGGAAAATACACATAGTTTGTAGTTTATTTGTGTGTTTGTTTAGGTTTTTCTGCTGCGTCAACAAAATTTATCAACTAAAAAAAGAGAGATACTTATTTTTAATCTAATTCTCCATACCCTGTCAGAATATATGCCCATATTTTTAGGTTTAATTTTTTTCCTTATGCTCCATGTGCTTATTAGGCTTTCTTGACTATTTTTGTCTTAAAAAAATATTCATGTTTGTGTGTATATGCATTTGTTTTTATTTTTTATATTGTATCTATGACAATGCTCTATTTGTCAAAGGCAAAAGATTCTGGTAG